GGGGGGGGCTTGGCTCTGCCCTCCCAGAGCTGGGAGCCTTTGCCTCTCAGAGCTGGGATTTAGGAGCCACGCCTTCTTTTCAGCCTCTGGGTTGGTTGGGAGGTGGGGAGAACCCTGCACTGGGGCTTAGCTCTGCCCCTGGAGTTGGGAGCCATGCCTCCTTCTCAGCTTCTGGGCAAGCTGAGAGTGGGGCACAGAGCTCAGCTCTGGAGGGCAGAGCCAAGCCTTGCTGCAGGCTTCTGCCTCCACTCTTCCCTTACCCAGCCCAGAGGCTAAGAAGGGGACATAACAGGGGACTCCAGCCCTGCTCCCATCTCTGGAGGACAGATCCAAGGCCCAGTATAGGCTTCCCTCTCTTCCCAGCCAGCCCAGAGGCTGAGAAGGGGCCATGGCCCCTAGCACCCACATCTGGGGGCGGAACCAATCCCAGGTGCGGGCTTTTCCCCATCTCCCAGCCAGCCCAGAGGCTGAGAAGGAGGCATGGCTCCTGGCTCCCAGCTCTAGAGGGCAGAGTCAAGTCCTTGCTGCAGACTCCCCCTCCTTTCCCCAGGCTGGCAACATCCAGCTGGGGATCTGGTTCCCTCCTCTCCCCACCTCCACTCCAACCAGCAGCACCCATCTGGGCATCTGGTGCTGGGCCAGAGGGGTGTTTTTTTCCCCCCTCACCCTTTCCTCAGCCACCTGGAGTGATAGTGCTCTGACTAGGGAGCAGAGGAGTGGGGAAGACCCTTCTCATTGGAGCAGACAGCACAGTCCAAGGCTGCAAAGCATCATGGGATGCTGGGGGACTGTGAGTTAACTTGAACCAGGAGGGGATCTGGGACAGAAGTTCCATAAACTGGTTTAACCTAAATCAGTTAAGTCTGATACTGCATCCAACCAGGTTTATCTTAAACCAGTTTCAGCCATTTTGAAAGTGGTTTAAGTACACTGAACTTCTGTTCTGGTAAAGGTTTAAATTGGTTTCTGATCACTTAAACTGGTTTGTGTAACTTCTGTTCCTAGCCCAAATGTTAGCTAAATCTCAAACTCTATGTCACAAGAGTACAGAATAAACTGATAATACTTACACCTGTCCAATGAGTATCAAGAATCCTTGATTTATATACCTTTGTAACAAAAGCAGAAAGTAGGGAAACCAGTCTACATAGTATCACATTTTTGGATGAATGTGTGACAATAGGGAAAAAAAACAAAAAAGCATGGAAGATCTGCCATTGCAATATGTGGAAGAAAATGGAATCAGACTGCCTACACACACAAGCTGTTAAGAAGGCTTTGTTGTTGTTGAAATTATCCTGTTCAGTGTATTGGGAACACTAATCATCATACTTTGATGCAGGAAAAAATAACCCATAATTCATTGTTACTGACTTCTGGCTCCTCATAAATAGGAAAATGCAGTCATCTTCACTTCTGTAAGTTGCCTACAGGTAGAAGTTACTCATTACTCTTAGACCATACTAAGGGCACTTAAAACGTGAGTGTCCACATGCTAAAGCTTAGTAACTTGTGCTGAGTGCCCTCTGAGTATCTCAAAGTTATGCTGCTTCAGGTGAAGGTTAATTCTGGGTCATGCTACCTAGCTCATGTTAGCGTATCTTCAGTCTGCTCCAGAGAGATAAAATGGGCATTTTTTATTCTTCCAGCATCTCAGTTTTCACTGCTCCCAGGAGACACTTCTCCCCTCACCCCCACCCATTGCAGAGATAGAGCCCAGGTGTCCTGGCTTCTATCCATGCACCTACTCACCAGCCCTCTAGTGGCAAATCAGAGCTGTGCTGGCAAGAAATTGTATTAACCTGGCCCTGTACTTTTACTGCCCAGTGATCCCAGGGTCTCTGTGGAGACTCATCTGGGACCTGTATGGGCAGGGTGTGCTCAGCCTGGTGGACAGAATGGGGCTGCAGGTGGGTGGAGAATGTTGTCTGGAACTGGTACAGGCTGGCAGGGCCAGGACCAGAGTGGGGTTCAGGATTGTAGGGCCAGGACCGCACGGGGCCTGGGGCAGGGCTGTGGTCCAGTCCTCATGTGCTCCTTCCCATGGAACCAGTGCCCATCACAGGGATGTGTGGGTAGCAGATCATGGCTCTGCCCTGGGCTCTGGCCCTATACTGTCACTGCCCCAGAGACCCACCCCGCCATCCCGGCCCCAATCCCAGCCCTGCCCACCTGTCCTACTGCCAAATGCAGCTCCCTACCTGCCTGTGGGCCCATCCTATTCATCTGGCCAAGCATGCCCTGACTGCCTTGGTTCTAGGCTGGCCTCCAGGGAGATCCCACTGGCTTGCTCCATCTGGAACCCCTGGTGGTAGGTGTAGGACAGATGGGCCAGGGTGCAAAATGGCTGTTTCCATGAACACGCAAAAAGTGACAGTTCTATGATTTTCCAAGGAGTCAACAGGAAAAAAAAGTACCAAAAATGAAATGCTGGCTTCTCAGTGGGAGCCAGTGGTCACTATGGCCCAGCCTTGCAGCCCACTGAGAGAGACGGGGTGGCACAAAGAGGTGCAGCCAAGATGGAGGCCGACCCCTCTTCCTCTTGCCACTGCTTGGTTGCAAGGGCTGCCTTTTGAATGGCTCTGCCCCTCTCTTCCAATCAGCAGCAGAGAGAAGGGCCACATGAAGGGCAGTCTTCTGCCAATCAGTGGTAAGGGGTGGGGCCCCATGAAAGACAGCCTGCTTGGCCAATCAGCAACAAGGGACGGGGCTACCAGGGGCCAATCATCAGGGGGTGCTGTGAAAAGACAGCAAAAATGATGCCAGGTGCTGCAAGTGGCCCAAAATTTTTCCCTTGCCTTGGCATGATTTAAGTAGATGCCTAAAAATAGGCTGTCTTGACTTCTTTTATGGGTTATATTTTTCATAAAAATCATATAAAATTAGGGTTGCAAGGGATCTCAAGAGGTCATCTAGTTCAACCCCCTGCTCAAGGCAGGACCATCTCCAACTACATCATCCCAGCCAAGACTTTGTCTAGCTGGGTCTTAAAAACCTCCAAGGATGGAGAGTCCACAACCTCACTGGATAACTTGTTCCATTGTTTTACTACCCTCCTAGTGAAAAAAGTTCTTCCCAATATCTAACCTACATTTCCCTTGCTTCCCTTGAGACCATTGCCCCCTGTTCTGTCATCTGCCACCACTGAGAACAGTCCAGCTCCATTCTCTTTTGAACCCCACTTCAGGTAGTTGAAGGCTGATATGAATCCCTACCTCAGTCTTCTCTTCTCCAGACTAAAGCCCACTTCCCTCAGCCTCTCCTCAGAAGTCGTATGCCCCAGCCCCCTAACCAGTTTTGTTGCCCTCCAATGGACTCTTTCCAATTTATCTACATCTTTTCTGTTGTGGGGCCCCCCAAACAGGACACTACTCCAGATGTGGCTTCACCACTGCTGAATAGGGGGGAATAATCACTTTCCTAAATCTTCTGGCAACGCTTCTACTAGTGTACCCAGTTTGTGTTAGCCTTTTTGGCAACTAGGACACACTTGTTGGCCTATATTCAGCTTGTTGTCCATTGTAACCACTAGTTCCTTTTCTGCGGAGCTGCTGCCCAGCCACTCAGCCCCCAGCCTGTACTGGTGTATGGGATTGTTCTGTCCTAAGTGCAGGACTTTGCACTTGTCTTTATTGAACCTCATGAGATTCAATAAAGATGAATGCAAAGTTCTGCACTTAGGATGGAACAATTTTTAAAAATTATATTTTTATGTGATTTATTTTCAGATGGAAATTCTGTGAGAGAGGCTAAAATTTTTCCTCTGTCACCTGAAATCGAAAGAGGGTCAACTTTAAAACTCTTTTGCACTCTGGGAAAACATCTCATTCCTCGCGGAAATGCAAGTCACATCATCTGGAAGTTGAATCATGATTTGATTCCACAGGAATACTATACCATTATTAATGAGAGTACATCTGGTGTAACCATCCATAACTTCACTTATGAAAGTGCACATGTGAGATGCTTCACTAAGATGCTTCATTTGGGTGATGAACAACTTCAGATTCACATCAATGTTAAATCTGGCTGTAAGTAGAATCATATGACTTGCTATACCTAGACTAGTTCACGGATTTCTCAGGTCTTGATTGAAAACCTCATTGAGCAGAATGGAGTTTTTCCATGGATTTAAGTGGATCTTGGTTCTTGGCCCTTAGATGGTTATGTATCATGTCTAGTCTACCATATTGTAACTTTCAATAGCAGGGGTGCTTAACCTCTGGTCCACAGGCCAGATCTGGCCCACCCTTTTTAGAGAGGTTAGAGATTTTTAGAGATATTGTACCTCCGAGATGAAGTAAACTCTGAATCTGATTGCTTCAGTAGAAGATGCTGAGAAGTGATGTTAGGAAGTCTGTGCATACTCTGAAAACTCCTTCAAGGTTTCCTACATCAGTGACAATTCCAGATGTAGGGTCAGATACACTGTAGAGTAACTAGTGCTTTTCTAGAGGTTTGTATTCTCTGGGCATGTCTACACATTCATTAATGTGGCATAGTTACTGCACATTAAGTTTAGTACTTGTATAACCAAATACTAAATCAATGCACAGTAACTGGAGCTACTGCAGAATAGCACCAGTGCATGGCTTTTTAATTATGCTAATCGCACAGTAGCCCAATACCAGTGTGCAGTAGCATATTAGCATAGTTTTTGCCCTGTATGCTATGTGCAGTAGAATTAGGTTATTGCACAGTTAGCATCTTGTGTAGATGCACCCTCTGTGACTTCTGTGGAGCTGCTTTAACTTCCAACTACAGTCATTTAATTTCTGGGGTGAAATAAACATAGAAGGTGAAAGTGAATGCATTTATTGACCCTAGCATAAGGTTGCTAATGAGTTAATGGAAAATACCTTTAAGCCTGGTTAATGATATTTTTGAGAAATAAGATTAAAATATTTCTTACATCGGAAGAAAATTTGAGTTTGTGGTTTACAGTTGTTGTGTAGATGATGAGATGTGAGGGCAGTAACGAGTCACTGTAAGGCTCTGCATATTATAAATTTACTGACATTTGCCATTTATTGATTTACTGACATTTGACTGGTAAGACTTGTACTATTTCAATATACTATTCAACCATATCTGTTCTGGAATTTTTTTTTTTTTATCTTGTAGTTTCACCTGAGAAACCAAAAAATATTTCCTGCATTTACTATTATGATATAAACATTACTTGCAGCTGGATTTCAGGAAGAGAAACGCATCTGAATACGACATATACTCTTGTACGAAAACAGTAAGTAAAAGACATGTCTCGGTGCTCAGCATAGCTGTACTATAACTGTCACCTCTTGATTACCAGCAGTTATATTCTGATATCTTGTAGTTTTTTGTATGATGAAAAAAATCAAAACAAAACAAAAAAATCAGTAAATTCAATCCACTGGAAAAAGTGCTCACATTGTAAGTGAAATATTTCTTTCTTAGCAACGTTATCAAAGAAATCTAGAGCTAATTAAACATGGAAATATCAGCAGGATACAATGCTTCTTATTCAGGAAAAGTATGTGTTGGTAGAACAGTATCACAGTTAGTAACATAACGGTGCACAATGATGTCCCTGGGTACTGCCTAAGGTGGAGTTGCTGGAATGGAGCCAGTGGGGGGCCTTATCCTCACATCCCCCACTCTAAAATGTAGCCAAAAAGGTAACGTTTGGCAGGGGCCTGTGTGTCTAAAATGGGCTTGCACCCATGTTCTAGTGTGCTATTTCAGAAATAGGATTAAGTTAATAAGTAAATGTGCTTGTTTTTCTAATAAAACAAGCCTTCCAAGGCAGTTTGCACTATGAATTGAAAGTAGGTTATGATATAAAAGTATGTTAGTTTTCAGTGTATTAGCATGGTTGAGATATTGTAAAGTCATTGACTTAGAAAATATGGACCTGGTTTCTTTTCAGTGTGTATTGATATCTTTTTATAGAAACAGGATGTTGGATGCCATGGTTCTCCTGCTTTGCCTGTGGCAGATTAGGGTGTTATGTCAAGGTTGATGGTAGTTTTACTAAGAGTTTCAATTATGGATTTTTTTGGTTGGTTTGGAAAGGCATAACCTTGCAACAGGCAGGGGGCTTGATGAGGTAACCTCTGGAGGTCCTTTCCAGCCCTATTTCTCTAAGATTTTATGATTCATACAGTTTATGGTGTGTGGTTGCTCAGTATACTTATATACTGTTAAGACCAAGGGACCATTGTCTTTTTTTCTTGATAATATTACCTGCATTTAGTAATTGGAATGACACTTCCACTTGCATGTGGTTTGTAAGAAAAGTTATTTATTCTTCAGAAGCAAAATATGCTTAGGTTAATATCTAGTAAATACCTAATTAGTATAAAATGTCATTCTCTCATATGGAGTTAAAACTAAATGTATGTGTATTATCAATGGCAGTGGTGCTCAATCTTTTGGCTCTGAGGATCAGATAAATGGTTCGGAGCCACTGCCGATGTGATCAGGACCTTCCTTTCAGGATTTGGCCCTGCGCCAGCTCTGCCCAGTCCTGCTTGGACCTGTGCTGCTCTTTGTCACCCCGCCTGCCCACTCAATTCTGCCCTGCTCTGCCCTGTCCCAAATGGCCTCACTCAGGGGGAGCCCTACAGATCGCAGGGCTGAGTCCAGACATTTGACAACAGGGGAGTGGCAGTTAGCTGCCACTGTTCCTCTGCCACCACATTTCACAACTGTGAGGAGCCCTATGGGCTGGATAACATGGCTTCATGGATTTAAGCATGAGCCAGGGATTGAGCACCCCTAATCTATGGTAGCAATACTTGGGATGAATATACCATTTTAACTATTCAACATAATTAAAAATATTTACCACAATCTAGGTAAATATTATTTGCATTTTAAAGCTGGACACACACAAAAAGCAAAGAGACTTTATCAGGGCCTCACATGCAATAAGTAAGCAGAGATAACATTCTGATTTGCCACCCATCTAGGTCTTAGTTTTTTCTCCAACCAATGGAAGACTACTACCTCTTGACCTTGTATTGTCTCAAAGACATGTTTATACATTTCTTTATATTCATTGGTCTACTGGTTTTATGCAATATAGTTCCTTGTCTTGTCACTGTGACTTTTTGTTCCTTGTTTTATTTTATATGTTAAAACTGGAAATTGAGATTGCGAAATTGATCATCAGCATATGAATTGTAAATGCAGATTTCTAAAGGATGATGTAAAAGAACCAAAGTTACTGATGTCAGAAATTAACAGATTATACAGCTCATTCCCAAGCATTTGTCTTTATTATTATACTCATAGATATCCACCTATATATTGAGTAATAGAAAAGACTAAATGCATTTGTACAAATTCTGCCTTCAAATATATAATTAATTAGAAGAACTTATGAAGCATCACAAGTTTTGTGGAAGTGTAGCAATTCAGATGACACTTTTATTGAGAAGGTATTTCAAGATGGGGCAGGAGGTAGAGAGAATCTGCAATCACCAGCTAGCCGAGATCATAGTCTAGTGCACTAAGTTCATTGCCTAGTGCAGTGGTTCTGAAACTTTGTAGACTCAAGACATCTCTTGGAAAGTTCCAGCTCTTAGTTTTTGCCCATTTTTTGTCCACAGAAAAATAATAGAGCAATTCTTCTGTTGCAAAGAACTCAAAAACACCATGCTAGAATATTTTGAACACTATATAGTTCCTATTGGAAAAATTGTTGCGTTTATCTCATGTATTATATTTACACACTGTGGCAGGGGAAAAACTCCCTGCCCAGCCACAGTGCTAGTTTCCCCACCTGCCTCTGAGCACGCCGCCCACCTGTCTCGTCTGCCATGCCTTGTTGTTACTTAATTAAGGTGTTAATTAAGGTGGGAGGCTGCCCATTCTTGCCCCAATGCCAGGGGGCACTATCTGCATCTCCATTCTTCCCCTACACTGCAGCCCAAGCCTTGCAGATGGCATCCAGATGACACAATGCTCCCGGCCTACAGCCAGACCAAGCTTAGCCCTCATTGTCAGGCCTCAGACACACATTCCTACTGCCCTCCTCTCACTAGGACCTCTCACACTCCAACCCCTCTCACAGGGTCTCTTTCATGCTTCGACAACTTGTACTGCCTTGCTCCATCTTGGAGTGGGCCCCTTAGGCCATAGGCTTTAGCTTGCTCATACCTTGGGTGACAGACATACTGTCTTTTGGGCCTCTCCCATGACCCTCACCTGGGTAGTGGCCAGCCAATTACCTGACCGGGTCTAAGCTTGCCCTGGCCCTTTCCGGGGAAAATCTATACCCTCACCCACACACATACTGGACTCACAGCCCTCTGGATTTCCCCCCTTCACTGAGGCTCCACATCTCCACCCCCTCCCTGGGGCCACCCCCTCACTAGGGCTCTGGGGCTTCCCTCCCCAGTGGAGCTCAGGTGGCCGTAGCCATGCCTGGCCCCTTTCTGAGTCTTGCACCCTCCCTGGACTCATAGATTTCATAGACTTTAGGGCTGGAAAGGATCTCAGAAGATCGAGTCCATCCCCCTGCCCCAGTGGCAGGAAGACAGGTGGGGTCATAGGATCCCAGAAAGATAAACATCCAAATTTCTCTTGAAGGTGTTCAAAGTAGGTGCTTGAACCACCTCCGGTGGCAGTCTATTCCAGACCTTGGGGGCTCGAACTGTAAAGAAGTTCTTTATGTCCAGCCTGAAATGGTCCCGAAGGAGTTTGTGACCATTTGACCTTGTCATCCCTTGGGGCACTCTGGTGAACAGACGTTCCCCCAGATCCTTGTGGGCATCCCTGATAAACTTATAGGCGGCCACCAGGTCAACCCTAAGCCTGCGCTTTTCCAGGCTGGAGAGTCCCATAGCTCTCAGCTTCTCATTATAAGGTCTGTTTTCCTGACCTCTGATTATGCGCGTGGCTCTCCTCTGAACTCTCTCAAGCTTCTCCACATCCTTTTTGAATTGTGGAGCCCAAAACTGGATGCAGTACTCCAGCTTTGGCCTCACCAAGGCCGAGTACAACGGGAGAATGATGTCCTGGGATTTGCTTGAGAAGCATCTGTGGATACAAACCAGCGTTTTGCTCGCTTTACTAGCTGTAGCATCACATTGAAGGCTCATGTTCATCTTGTGGTCAGTCATGACCCCCAAGTCCCTTTCGTCCATAGTGCTAGCCAGCGTAACACTGCTGAGCCTATAAGCGTGCTGCAGGTTTTTCTTCCCAAGGTGGAGAACCTTGCATTTTTCAGTGTTAAACACCATGAGGTTCTCATTCACCCATTTCCTGAGCCCATCAAGGTCAGCTTGAATTGCCTTCCTGTCCTCAGGTGTGGACACTTTACCCTAAAGTTTGGTGTCGCCGGCGAACTTGGCCAGCCCA